CGTGTCCTCCTAAGACTTACCTGTATCTGACACACCTCTTAACCATTAATCTACCAGTGTGATGTTGGTACTTCCCCATAAAATGATGATGATGGATGATGATTATGATGACACTAACTCCAGGTTGAGGGACTGACTACCACAAACTGCTCATCTACCACCATTCTTCTCTGCACTGGACTGAAGAAGCCACTAGCTAGCAAAATGTTTCTTCAATGTTGCACAAGTGTCTCATTCTTCACTTCTTAGTTTTCTAAACCATTTGTATCACAATCATGACCTTACCCATGTTAGTGTTAAACATGCCATGAGTTTGATCAAGCTGGGGTCTGGCAAACATTGAGAACTGTTAATACTGTCTTAAGTCTGGTAAACATTCATTATTTTTTTTTTCTTATTAACACATCGGTCATTTCCCACCAAGGTAGGGTGGCCAGAAAAAGAAAAACTTTCATCATTCACTCCATCACTGTCTTGCCAGAGGCATGCTTATACTAGTTATAAAACTGCAACATTAACACCCTCTTTCAGAGTGCAGACACTGTACTTCCCGTCTCCAGGACTCAAGTCCGGCCTGCTGGTTTCCCTGAATCCCTTCATAAATGTTACCTTGCTCACACTCCAACAGCACGTCAAGTCCAAAAAACCATTTGTCTCCATTTGCTCCTATCCATCACAGTCATGCTTACTGGAAGTCTAAGCCCCCACACACACAAAAACCTCCTTTACCCCCTCCCTCCAACCTTTCCTAGGCCGACCCCTACTACATCTTCCCTAAACTACAGATTTATACACTCTTGTAGTCATTCTGTTTCATTCCATCCTCTCAACATGTCCGAACCACCTCCACCATCTCCTCCTCAGCTCTCTGGATAATAGTTTTGGTAATCCTGCATCTCCTAATTTCTAAACTAAGGATCTCTGCATTATATTCACACCACACATTTCCCTCAAACATGACCTCTACACTGCCTCTAGCCTCCTTTTTGTTGGAACATTTACCACCCATGCTTCACACCCATACAAGAGCATTTGTATAATGTTCTTTGTCTCCACAGACTCCTCAATGCGCTTCACCTTCCTTCCCTCGTCAATTCTATGATTCATTTTATCCTTTATAGACCCATCTGCTAACACGTCCACTCACTCCCAAATATCTTAATACATTAACCTCCTCCATACTCTCTCCCTCCAGTCTGATATCCAATCTTTCATTACCTAAATTTTTATCCTCATCACCTTACTCTTTCCTATATTCATTTTTAATTTCCTTCTTTTACATACCCTACCAAACTCATACCAACCTCTGCAACTTCTCTTCAGAATCTCCCAAAAGCACAGTGTTATCAGCAAAGAGCAATTGTGACAACTAACACTGTTAGATTCCTTATCTTTTAACTCAACACCTCTAGCCAACACCCAAGCATTTATTTCTCTTACAACCCCATCTATAAATATATTGAACAACCACAGTGACATTACACATCCTTGTCTAAGGCCTACTTTTACTGGGAAATAATCTCCCTCTCTCCTACATACTCTAACCTGAGCATCACTATCCTTGTAAAAACTTTTCACTGCTTTCAATAGCCTACCTCCTATACCATACATTTGCAACATCTGCCACAATTGAACATTAAAATGGTATAAAATACCGACAGGTTGTTAGGTAGATACATATGCAACAGTTAGGTATCTTTATTTCGAAACGTTTCGCCTACACAGTAGGCTTCTTCAGTCAAGTACAGAAAAGTTGATAGAAGCAGAAGAGACTTGAAGACGATGTAATCAGTCCATCACTGACCACCTCAAAACTTTAAGGGTGATGGACTGATTACATCGTCTTCAAGTCTCTTCTGCTTCTATCAACTTTTCTGTACTTGACTGAAGAAGCCTACTGTGTAGGCGAAACGTTTCGAAATAAAGATACTTAACTGTTGCATGTGTGTCTACCAAACAATCTGCCACAATGCCCCCCTATCCACCCAATCATACACCTTTCCCAAATCTATAAATGCCACAAAAACCTCTTTACCCTTATCTAAATACTCTTCACCTATATGTTTCACTGTAAACACTTGGCCTACACACCCCCAACCCTTCCTAGAGCCTCCTTGTTCATCTGCTATCCTGTTCTTCATCTTTTAATTCTATCACTAATAACTCTACCCTACCCTATAATTTTTACTCTTTTGCCCCCTTTGTCTTTATACACAGAAACTATGCATGTTCTCTGCCAATCCCTAGGTACCTTACTCTCTTCCATATATTTATTAATTAAAAGCACTAACCACTCCAAAACTATCCCATCAATCCCAGCTGCCTTACCCCCTTTCATTCTACCCACTGCCTCACAAACTTTCCCCACACTCACAACTGGTTCTTCCTCACTCCTACAAGATGTTATTCTTCCTTGCCATATACACTAAATCACAGCTTCCCTATCTTCATCAATATTTAACAATTCTTCAAAATATTCCCTCCACCTTCTAAATACCTCTAACTCTCCATTTAATAACTCTCCTCTCCTATTTTTAACTATCGAATCCATTCGTTCCCTAGGCTCTCTCAACTTATTAAGCTTGCTCTAAAAGTTTTTCTTATTTTCAACAAAATTTGTTGATAACATCTCACCCACTTTCTCATTTGCTCTCTTATTAGATTGCTTCACCACTCTCTTAACCTCTCTTTTTCTCTCCATATACTCTTCCCTCCCTGAATCACTTCTACTTTGTAAAAGCCTCTCATATGTTAACTTTTTCTCTCTTACTACTCTCTCTACAGCATCATTCCACCAATTGCTCTTCTTCCCTCCCACACCCACTTTCTTGTAACCACAAACTTCTGCTGAACACTAACACTATATTCTCAAACCTACCCCATACATCTTCAACCCCATTGCCTATACTCTCACTAGCCCATCTATCCTCCAACAGTTGTTATACCTTACCCTAACTGCCTCTTCTAGCTTATAAACCTTCGCCTTTCTCTTACTTGCTACTTCCATTTTTCTTGTATCCCATCTACCTTTTACTCTCACTGTAGTTACAACTAAAAAGTGATCTGATATATCTGTGGTAAACATTATACACTGTTAATGCTGTCTTAAGCTTGGCAAACATTGTACACAGTTAATACTGTCTTAAGCTTGGCAAACATTGTACACAGTTAATACTGTCTTAAGCTTGGCAAACATTGTACACTGTTAATGCTGTCTTAAGCTTGGCAAACATTGTACACTGTTAATACTGTCTTAAGCTTGGCAAACATTGTACACTGTTAATACTGTCTTAAGCTTGGCAAACATTGTACACTGTTAATACTGTCTTAAGCTTGGCAAACATTGTACACAGTTAATACTGTCTTAAGCTTGGCAAACATTATTATTATTTTTTATTATCACACTGGCCGATTCCCACCAAGGCAGGGTGGCCCGAAAAAGAAAAACTTTCACCATCATTCACTCCATCACTGTCTTGCCAGAAGGGTGCTTTACACTACAGTTTTTAAACTGCAACATTAACACCCCTCATTGTACACTGTTAATACTGTCTTAAGCTTGGCAAACATTGTACACAGTTAGTTAATACTGTCTTCAGTTTTTTGGGTTCAAAAGTTCTTGGTATGGAGCCAGGCATCCTGTTAACTTCACTGCTTGATGCAAGACATTGTTTAATCAATTTTAGGTCAATGACTGTGACTATTCTAAGCTCTTTTTCTTCCTCTGACTCTATGAGTGGGTTTTCCTGTAAGTTATACTCACATTTTATATTAATTTATCCTAAGCCTAGCACTTTTTTTTTTTAAATACGGTAAGTAATCTGAAAAAGAGAAGAAAAATTTTCACCATCATTCAATCACTGTCTTCCCAAAGGTGTGCTGACATCACACCTCAGATGATCCTCGGAACTGTAACATCCTCACTGTACTCCCCACCTCCAGGATTTAAATCCAGCTAACATGAGTTTCCATGAATCCCTTCATATATGTTACCTTGCTCGCACTCCAACAGCATATCTAATCATAAAAGCCACTTGCATCCACTCTTTCCTATCCAACATGTTCACATAAACCTGTTGAATGTTCAAGCCCCTAGCACTCAAAACCTTCCTTACCCCTCCCTCCAACTCTTCCTGGAATGACCCCCTGGTCTTGATGAATCAAGATTCGTCAAGACTAAGATTAGTTTGCCCAAATATATTGCATACTAGTGGCTTTCTTCTGTGCTAAATACTATTTTATTACACGTAAACTACATTAGCTGTATAAAGAATTACAAATTATATGCTGATGTAAACTGTCAAGAGATACACTTATAACATTTGGGAATCTTTATCGAGGAAGCATTTCACCAGCCAGTGGCTTCTTCAGTCCAGTACAGAGAAGAATGGTGGAAGATCAGGAGTTTGAGGTAACCAGTCCTTCAGTCGGGCTTAGAGACTGATTACCTCAAACCTTCCTCATCTTCCACCGTTCTTCTTTGTATTGGACTGAAGAAGTCACTGGCAGGTGAAACATTTCCTAAATAAAGATTCCCAAATGCTGAACAAATGTCTCATTCTTCAAATATTGTATTGTAAATGAAATAACAAGAGGCTTAAGAAGAAAATACACATACATAAAGTACACATACACAAAGTACACATACACAAAGTACACATACATAAGTACACATACAAAAGTACACATACATAAGTACACATACATAAGTACACATACATAAGTACACATACATAAGTACACATACATAAGTACACATACACAAAGTACACATGTATACATACACAAAGCACACATACACAAAGTATACATACACAAGGTACACACACAAAGCACACATACACAAAGTACACATACACAAAGTACACATACACAAGGTACACATACACAAGGTACACATACACAAGGTACACATACACAAGGTACACATACACAAGGTACACATACACAAGGTACACATACACAAGGTACACATACACAAAGGCTGTATGAAAACTTACTCTGACAAATGAGAGCTTGCAGACAAGACCATTGTTAGTGTTCTTGATGATCATCTCTCCGTACTGGTCAACCCATCTCTGGCCTCCACCGAATAAGTTATGAACACATGTTGTGACCTTGTTCCACTCGTAATGGTCCTCCATACCTGTATCTATCGCTTCACCTAATATCAAGTGAACTTTACCTGTAGGAAGAAAATAAATGTGCAAAATTCTAGTAGAAATTTCCCGCCAAGTAACACATTTAAAATACAAGTGATCCTCGACTCATGATGGTTCGACTTACGATATTTTGACTTTATGATGGTGCAAAAGTAATTACTTTGGAGATGAAACTTAATTACCCAGCATGAGGTCGGCAAGTCTGTAGCTTGTATATATTTTTTTTACTTTTCAATACTGATATTTAATTAGTTACAATAATTATTTGTTTACTGACCTATTCAGCGACAGTAGTTATTTATTTACTTGTTTATTTAGCATATCATATTCGTATACAACTTACGGTATTTTTGACTTACAATGGGTCTAGCGAAACCTAACCCCATTGTAAGTCGAAAACCACCTGTGCTGCACCTACTGTATAATGCATCAAGAGTGTTACAATTTTATCAAATAATTAATCTGAAAAACAGTTTATCCCTAAAAGGAAGTGTATGAAAAAAAAAAAACATGGAATGGGTGGGGACTGAATCCATGGCAAGCAAATCCTAAAGCTCCAGTTGGATGAATCATCTTATAGTCAGCAGGTCCAGTGGTTAACGCACTGGCCTGGAGCTTCAGGACTTATTTGCCATGGGTTCCAACCCCACCCATTACATGGTTTGTTTGCAATCATGATATTATGATTTCATGAGTCAGGAAGTGTATGAATTATGACCTACCACCAAGGAGCTGCAAGGCTTCCATACGTACATTTTGTTATCCATTTGCTATACAAATTAATTTTATAAACAAGATCTCTCAAAATGTTCTAAAAAGAGATTAACTTAACTGTGTTTTGGTGTATAACTGATATTCAACAGCAACAATATTTGGTAATGAATTCAATAAATGACAATTGTGAAAGTGTGACTCCCACCAGGCTGGCTAGTGGTGACCCAAGTGCGACTCTAGACATATAAACAAAGGACAAACATTAGCTAGGTGGCACTCAAGGAAGAAGAGATATGTTTCAAGTAATTAATATTATTTGAAACTATGGGTTATATTGTACCTTACCTAACCTAACCTTAAGTGTTACTGACCTCTGGTTCAAGTCCTTGAAAAATACTGAATTTTGACAAGCATTTATTATGTTAAGAGCTGATAAATGTCAACAAGGGACAGAAGCTAGTCACACCACCTGACTTAATCACTGTAGGTTACTCGCTGTAACAGTACAGAAGGACTGCAGTTGGTCACAACAAATTTCATGGTTGTATACAGTAGCAGCAGTTTGGTAAAGCAATCCTTATAGGAGAGATGGTTGAGCGGATAGTTCTTTGGGCAGTAGCTCAACAGATCATTGGTTTGAGTCTCCGAAATAAATGAACATTTTTTAACACACCAGCCATATTCCCACTGAGGCAGGATGACCCCCCCCCCCCAAGAAAAAAGGGAGCACATTCATCATCATTCTTTCAAACTACACTGCCCTTCCCACCTCCAGGACACAAGTCTGGCTGACTGGTTTCTCTGAAACCCTTTATAAATGTTACCTTGCTCACACTCCAACAGCACATTCATTAAAAACCACTGATCTCCACTCGCTCCAATTTAACACGCCCATTCAAGCATGCTGAATGCTCAAGCCCCTAACACTCAAAACCTCCTTTTCCCTCCTTCCCTTCAACCTTTCCTGGGATGATCCCTACCCTTCCTTCCTTCCTTCCTCCCAGATTTATACACCTTCACAAATATTTATCTCCTTGTAAAGCTTACAATGTGTGGTTTACATGTCATAAGATTTAAATTACAAAGATGGCCACTATCATGCCTAGGCACTTCGAGCAGACTAATACTAATTCTTACGCTATTTTGATATAGGTCATATTTGAGCGGTACATTTGAACATATTATTAGGTACTTAATAAGGAACATTCTCAGTTAGGTACAACATAATTAGGTTTAAAATAGTTAGGTAGTCAAATCATTTAATATTAGTACAAATGGCAGATTTAGTAATGGGAATCGATTTGTCTTGGCATGATACATTGTTTGTATTAAAGCCATACTGGAGGTGTATCTTAGACAAACTTAGGATTAACTTAAGATTTAATAAGACAATATAAGATTTAGTAGGCAATAAATATATTAGGAATTGGATGTTTACAGTCCTTTGGGTGAGTGTAGGTGGAAATTATGGGGGAATTACAGATAACAATAAGTCTATATTGTTCTGGATGTGTTCATGATACAAAAAAGAGAATTGGGTGGTTTTCATATGGTTAGCTGATGATGGAGTGTGTTGTGGAGACGAGATGTTTTTTGACGGTAGTTTTGAAAATGGTGGTCAAGTCTGCGGTTCTAAAGTTTTCAGGCAGGGAGTTCCAGATTCTAGGCCCTTTTATGTACATTGAATTTTTGTATAGGTTTAGCCGGACATGAGGAATGTCATAGAGATTTTTGCATCTGGTGTCGTGTCAATGGGTCCTGTTGCAACTATCAAGAAATTGTCTTAGTTCCGGGATAAAATTAGAGTTTATGGTTCTGTAAATGTAGATTGCATAATAGTAGGTGTGAATGTTCTGTACGGTGAGTAGGTTTAGGTCTTTGAAGAGTGGGAGTGTGTGACCTCACAGATGTGGGGTCACCACCTTTGTGTATTGATGTGACCCTCACTATCTTGAGTAGTGCCGAAAAAGTGCTGGTTTCTAGTTATTTGTTAAAGAGTAATGAAATAGTAGGTGAGAGAACATGACCCGCTTGTTTGTACAATAATGGAGGAGCTTGAGCCAGATTTCCTGATTTATTTTTAAGTGTTTTAATAATCGCAGTGACTTCTGTGGGCTTGGTTGGTGCAAGATAGAAGGAGGGTGGGAAATTCCCCATCTAAATAATCGCCTGCTTGGGCGTTGGTACCCGGGATTTTACTGGCGAGATTTGATCCAATGCCTGAACCACCTCAACAGCCCTCTGAATTAAATGTTTCGTGACCCCCACACTGTCTTCTAATTACTACACTCCAAATTCTCTGTATAATACTCACATAACACAATGCTCTCAGAAGTGACACCATCACTGCCTCTTGCCTCCTCATCACAGCAACATTTAAAATCAGTGCCTCACACCCATATAAAAGTGTTGTTATTATGATACTCTGGCACAGTCTCTTATTTACCTCCACAGATAAACTTTCTTTTCACAGATGTTTTAACACACCACCTTCCTTTTACTATCATCTACTCTATGGTTCACTTCATCTTTCACAAACCCATCCACTGACAAGTTCATTTACAAATCTAAATACATCCATTTCCTCCAATCTGATATTCAATCTTTCCCTGCCTAGCCTTTTTGTTACTTTCATTACTATGCGCTTTTCTATGTTCACATACCCTCCTAAATTCCTCCACTAATTTTTGGAATTTCTCAATAAATCCTCCTAAATTCCTCCACAAATCTTAGCAACTTCTCAATAAACCCTCCTAAATTCCTCCACCAATCTTAGCAACTTCTCAATAAACCCTCCTAAATTCCTCCACAAATCTTAGCAACTTCTCAATAAACCTTCCTAAATTCCTCCACCAATCTTTGCAACTTCTCTTCAGAATCACCTGCAAGAACTGTGTCTTCAGAGATGAGCAATTGTGGCAACTCCCACTCTGTATCAGAGTCACCATCTTTTAGTGCCACACATCTCCCCAATACCTTGGCATTCACTTTATTTACAACCCCATCCATAAATATGTTAAACCACCACGGTGACATCATGCATCCCTACCAAAGTCCTACTCTCATTGAAAAAAGTCTTCCTCTCTCCTACATACCCTAACCTGATCCTCACTATCCACACAAACTCATTACTACATTTAGTAGCCTACTTCATAGCCCATGTCTAGTTCTTATGTAGCCTTTAAGCATTAGTATTAGTCTGCCTGAAATGCAGTGCATGTTAGTGTCTTTTTTCATGCCTAAAAATGTTTTATAACATGTAAACTACATTACCTGTATACTGAAGAAAAGAAATAAATTTATTCTTCTTCTTTCAACAAACAGGTCATATCCCACCAAGGCAGGGTGGCCCAAAAAGAAAAAAAAAAGTTTCTCTTTTTAAATTTAGTAATATATACAGGAGAAAGGGTTAGTAGCCCCTTGATCCTGGCATTTCAGCTGCCAAATTTATTATTATTATTATTACTGTTAGAATCCTTCATCTGTAAGCCATACGTGTCGTAAGAGGAGACTAAAATGCTGGGAGCAAGGAGCTAGTACCCCTTTTCCTATATAAACTACTAAATTTAAAAAGAAAAGCTTTTATTTTTCTTTTTAGGTCATCCTGCCTTGGTGGGATACGGCCTTTGTATTAAAAAATTATTATTGTTATAATGACTATGCTTGATACTTTACTAAATGCTTCATTTAGTTCTTATGAAGATATGCCTACACTGTAAAGTTTTAGTTATACAGTGGACCCCCGGATTTCGTAGTCACCAGATTTCGTAATATTCAGAAATATAGTAATGTTTTTTCGTCAAAATATTGGCTTGGTGATTGTCATTTAGCTCGGTAATAGTCATTCATCCCGAACGCATCCAAGCAGCCCGACACACCATTTACAGTCAGTGTGTCACTATTTATTAGCCAGTGAGCACGATCCTATGCATTCATATGATACATTTCATAATATTCCATTCATTTTAGTGCTTGCAACTGCTAAATAAGCCACCATAGGCCAAAAGAAAGCTCCCAGTGCCAGCTCTTTGGCAAAGAAGGCAATAAACGTGATAGAATTCAAGAAAGAACACACCAGGCAGGGTACTTCCTCACACACAAGACAAAGTACTCCCCCACACTCACAATTTGATTTGAGTGGGACTTGCACTTTGGTCACACTTCATAGACACGCACATGCATATATATATATACATACATCTAGGTTTTTCTCCTTTTTCTAAATAGCTCTTGTTCTTTTTATTTCTTCTATTGTCCATGGGGAAGTGGAAAAGAATCTTTCCTCCGTAAGCCATGCGTGTCGTATGAG